TAAAATCATATTTTTGGGAACTCAGTGTTTTCGACTTTTTCAATTTTCATTTTGATAAAAAAAACAATTACCAATTTAAACGTAAATTTCAATTATTATGTTATAAAGACGGATTCGGAAATAATATCAATAAGTATATAATCATAATGTGAACAAGTACAATTCACACTTTATTATTTCCCGTCTCAAGTTAGCGAGATATAATTATTGTTTATGTTTATAAATTATCGTAACGATTTTTTGATTGTTTTTAATCTTTTGGCATTTATGACAAATTATTACCATTATTTAAAAATTGAACTTTGACTCGAAATATTAAGTGTAAATTATAACTTGAGTTATGAGAGTGGGCTTTATGGGGAACTGAACCTTATGGATTTGTTTTTTGTATCCTCAGAAAAATATTTTTTAATAAGGATAGCTTTGATCCTGAGGATACGCCTTATCCTCAAGAAACCCTTAAGAATAATTAACAAATTATATATTAAACGAGATAAATTATAGACTATACCCATCTAAAACGTCCGTTATAAACGAATTCCATTTTCACACTTGCAAGGAACCGGCAGTTAAAATATTTTTGTTAAAATGTTTTGGGGTCAGAGATAGGAATCTTAAAACAGATGAATCAAACCCTTCCCGTATTTTTCAACATAAAATACCCAAATTTTAAATAATTGTAAAACAAATAAGTTTTTTTTAATTTTATCGGGTTTTGTGGTATAAAATAAACAAAAATTATAAAAAATGAGACCAAAAAGTTATTTATGACCAATTATTGTTTATGAATCAAAAGAACATCTACGTGTACACAATAAAAAAAATAATTACAATGAAATAAATTGACTTTGATATTTATTCAAAACAAAAAACAATAACCAAAAATGCTTCCAATTAATTAAAAGTTAATTACTGTTCTTTTTTGTTCATTTCTTTATTCCTCTGGACGGGTTTCTCTCCAACCGCTTTTTTATGAATGGGTTTTTTCAGTTTTACTTCTTCTTTTATTCTCTTTTCTTTTTCGTTTCCCATTTCTAATTTTACCCTTTGTCTTATTTCGTCTGTTATTTTGAGTTCTGAAAGATCAAATTGAAGAGAAAACATGTGTAAAAAACGAGTTGCTCAAGGTGACTAGCGCCAAGTCTCGTTCTTTTCTGTGTTCTCACGATTGAACATTGTGAGAACAGACGCTCAGAAGAAGCAGAGCTTGCAAGAATGCACAAGTATTTTTTGCTTAAAATGTACAAAAATGGAAATTGATACTTGTGCTTCTCCCACCAACTAATTGGTGTTAATATATTGTTGGTTTTCATTTTGATATATTCGTTCAATTCATTAACAGCGATATTTTCTATATTCATTTCAAAGTTATCATTATAACGATCGTCTACAGGAAAACTTGTAAGGTCATATTTATCTTGTCTACTCGAACTACACACAGAGCGACTTTCAGACCTAATTATGTTGAATTCTTTTAACGAGAGAATTGGACACTTTGTTCATTTCAACCAGTTGTTTAATGCAGACGCTTTCATATTCAACTTTTTTTCAAACGACATATCCAGTTTTCTTCTTTGCCAAGATAAAAGTCTTTTGATTCAAAGTATCCAGTTTTATATTTCGGGTTGAGTAACGCAGCCAAAATACAGTCTTCATTTTCTCTAATGTCAAGTTTAAGGTCAAATCCCATATTTACATTTTTTTTCAGAAATTTCATGGGTTGTGAAAAGCATCTTGTTCATTTCACTGATAATTGACTTTATTAGTTTTTTGCGGCATTAGTCGGTCCTTCTATTTTAATTTTACTTGTTTTTAAAAAATCAATTTTGCAGTGTTTTGGCAACTCATCAAATCCAAAATAAAGACACCCCTTTACTACAGCACATTTTTCACAACGTTCAACGTGTTCTTCTTCTACTACATCATCTTCTTCCAAATCAGTATATATTTCCGATAAAACTTCAATCAAACGGCATGAAGTGAATATAAGCATTGATAAAGTTGGATAGTTCTCAGATTCTAATAACTTTATTTCTCTGAAAACATGTGACATGATAATATTGTAATGGTGAATGTCTAGTATGTCTTCTTTGGTTATTTTGTAAGTTTCTATAAATATCTTTTTTCTTTCGACATTTTTCATTTCTTTGTACTTTGTTAAGATCGTCACATTGATCGAATCAATAAGTTCTTCCATTCTTTTTGTCATTAAATAATCACTCCCCCATCTCGTTTCGACTTCTTTGACGATTCCTTTGGGGTAGTCTATCATGGCTTGTGCTTTTTTTAATAACGAAGTCAACTCAACACTTTTGTTAAAAAGTGAAGTTATTTTTTTTCATTTTTTTGAGTAGAAGAGTAAATCTTGTGACGTTGTTAGTAGCATGCTCTGCCACCAAACTAAAAGTATGACAACCACAAGTGAGAGATATTTTTACCAGTAAGTTTTACACCCTTTACTTCATTTGGTGCATTGTCTGTTACTAAGACAAATTTATTGTTAAGACCCCACTTTGTGATAAATCCATTTAACTTTGTTTTTATTTCTTCTGATGATTCTCCTTCGTTTTCACTTCTCCGACAAACTTCCAAAACTAATGAACGAAGTCTTTTGTCTTCTATAAAATGAAGAGTCAACGACACAAATTCTTGATCACATTTAACTGTTGACCACCCATCTGTAGTTCCACAATAAAAATCCAAACCAGAAACAATTGTCTTAAGCTTGTCTTGAGCTGCATAAAAAAGACAAGGAATGACTATTTCTTTTATTGTACGGCTACATGGAATGGTACAGTCTGGACGGAAAAAAACGAATCAAATTGTGGAATCCCTTGTGATCACAATGTAAGTAACTCAAGTTTTCTTCGATGACATACTTGGCTATTACTTTTTGTATTTCACTTTTGTCGATTCTTTTAACTTTGATATTTTTAGAATTTAACCTCATTTTGAAAACATGTTTTCGACATCTTTTTTAATATGAGCTTTAAATGAAGTAACACTTTTCCCAGTATTTGAAAGAGTCAAACATCGACTACACAATTTACATTGTAATTTGTACACTTTCCCCTTTACGTTTGGTGTTGGTGGTTTCTTTCCTTTTTCTGTCTCTTTGATTTCTTCCCCAATTTTCTTTGTTTTTTCCTTCTTTACACCTATAAATCACACAATAATCCCACCAATTGCCGAGATTTTGACCTATAGTATCTTCTTCATCTATAAAAATTTTTGATTGTAATCCATTTTGTGAATACATTTTTTGAAAAATCAACTTCTTTCTTTTTAAAATAAAAAATCGTTTCGTTTTCCGTACAATTTTCTTCATCATAATCATCATCGAAATTATCGTGTTCTACTTCTGTACATTCACTCTGACTGTCGGATGAAATAGAAACAACTTCATTGACATAATGAGACATCATTTATATATTTTTCAGTTCGTTTTAATTTAAGAATGATTTTCGGAATAAAAAGATAATAAAATAGAATTTTTTTCAAAAAGGCATT